AACTCCGCGAAGAATCAGAAGTCGGCGACCAGCGCGACGCCCCACAAGCAGCCCAGCAGCACGGCCCGAGGGGGGTCGGGCAGCCGCAAGCACTCCAGCCAGACGAAGCCGAGCCACTGCCGCAGCGCAGCACCGACGACAGCGCGAGACGCCGCAGCGTGCAGGAAGTTGTTCACGTGCAGCAAGACGGTGTCGACGTCAAAAGAGAAGGAGTACACCAGGTCGCGCAAAAGACCACGAGGCAGAGTGTCTGCAGGCAACTCGTGAAGGAGGAGGCGCTGCAACGTGAGCAGACTGCTGGAGTGGCCTTCGCGAAACAGCACTCCACGAAGGTAAGCGTGCAGCACAGTTCGCAGGGGAAAGCGAGAAACGCGTGTCGCAGGCGGGGGGGCCGTCGGCGCCGCCGCATCATCTGCCGAATCCGAGCTGGAATCTTGCACCTCGGACCAGCGCTGCCCGCGGGCCAGGAATCTCATGTCCATCCTGCAGGCACGGAGGTGGTCTTTGAACAGAAAGTCGAGCCAGTAGAGGCTGCGGCAAAAAAGCACAAAGGCTCGCAAGTTGCGATGAGAAGGCAGCGCAAGCGTGAAAGCAACAACTGCTCGGAGAAGCTTAAGCAGGCATTTCGTGAGAGCAAGGAAGCCCGCCACTAGCACAGCACCCTCGAGATTTTTTGCATTCTGTAGGCACGAGGACGAGAGGCTGCCGCGCGGGATAGCAGCCTCGATGATTGCCGGCTCACCAAAACTACATGTGCATCAGCGGAAATGTACCTTGGGCGCGCGAAGCACGCCACCACAGCACGGCCGGGAAAGTTGAACACGCACACACTGCACCGAAGCATGCGAGGATGGCACAAGGAGGGCGGGACCAGAGCATCTGCCTCGGGACGGTATGCCAGCATGTGGGAAAAGAAAGGACCAGCTCCGAGGGCGCAGCTTTACGACACCACAGCACCGGCGGGATCAGCTGTCGTCGCGCTGGTCGAGATCTTAGCGACGGCTCAGTCAGCAAGCACGGCAGTCTTTCTAGTCTCTAGATGTAAACAAGAGAGTCGACAGATCAGCGGCTTCTTGGGCACGCCAGCAGGCCAACGCCAGATCCAGTGCCGCGAGAACGGCTTGCTTCACGTCCGCCATCGTGCGACGACCTTCGTCGTCCAGCGGCACACAAATCTCGAACGCCACGTCGAAGTCGAGGGGCAGGAGCTGCAAGTTCGCCTGAAACAGGAGCGGGCCGTCCGACGCCTGGAAGCGTGCCCAAGCGTCGCGAGCCGCCAGAGCCGCGGCGAAGGTCCAAGTCATGAGGACGTGCACCTGGGCTGCGGAGGGATCGGGCAGCGCTGTCGACGCAGGACGGGGACTGGCGGCAGCTGCAGCGGACTCGCGGAAGCACTCGCGGATGTCCATCGACCCAGCGGCCGCACGCTGCAGCGCGGTGCGACGAGCGCGCTTGGCAGGAGAGGCAGCAGGCTCCATGCAGTCAAGAAAAGTAAAGCTAAGCACCGGAGCTAGAGCAGATGTGCTTGCGAAAGCCCTGTGTTGGAGCCGCAAACCAGTGCCCGACGCGTTGCTGCAACATCGCAGTGAGACACACTCGCGCATGCATCATGCCCGCCAAGAAACCCCTCCAGGGACGCCGGGCACTGCTCCCCGCTCACTTCTGCACTCCGGTGCCTTAGTGACCTTATAGTGGAGCGGGACCGAGCAAGCGAAAAGCGAGCGCCTGCGAAAAGCAAGCAGCGATGCCCGATGATCACCACTGCAACGAGGACTGCGAGCACCTGCGACAGGGCCACCTGTGACGCACCATCGCCACGACAGCCTGCAGCTGGCAGCAAGTCACAAACACACAGGAGCAGACGCAGGTGCCGAGAGCCCAACTGCACGCGGCGGGCGCAAGCAGACCTGAGCAAGAGAAAGCGGCAAAGGACAT